TGTGGGGGGGGGGGGGGCGGGGAAACACTGTGTGCTCTTTTATAGATTGGTGGAATGGAATGCAGGTTGGCTCTGCTGTTCTCACTGGCTGTGGTGATTACAACAGCCATTGCTAACATGGCTATGAGGCTCTGGGGCTGGCAACACTGGGCACGCACTGGTGCTCATAAATACATGCTCCTGAATATTTGGGAAGGCTCAAAACCTACCGTGGGATGACCCTGTCTACGGTCCTCTTCATTTCTGCAGACCCTGGATACTATTTGCGTGGGTATACTATGCTTGAAAGTGTCTTGAACTCTAACAGTTGAGTTAGATACAAAGTTGTCGTATAGGAGCAGGCAACCTAGCTGGTCATAAGTATCTATGGGCATCTCCAGTAGGACCTGCCAGGTTCAATATCCCATCTAATAGGTTTGTTTTAAGACTCTTAATAATAGTAATTTTAAAAACTGGTAAGCTTGCATGTTGCAAAGCAAAACTTCAGACTACAGTATCATTTATTTCCAATAACAGTTCACCCATTTTTATTGGTTTAAAAATCAATTTTAATAGTCATTTTTATGAAAAAGTAGATAAGCATCATCCTCACAGAGACACTACCTCTTGTGTGAGAAAGGCAGTGGAATACCTATTCCAAAATTATGCCTGCATAGGTGAGTCTTTCAAATAACGCTTGCTTAGATGCATTATCTTAAAAAACCCTATACTTTCTTTAGATTATTTTGGGTCACGTGCAATGGTACGCACATTTAATTGATCAACTTTAGTTGCAGTCCTGTATCTATTTAACTGGGAAAATCTATATGAATAGATTGCACTGCAGAATTCATTAACGCTTCAATCAGGTGAAACTTCATAGAAGGTAAAAAAAGAGAAGAACTGTAGGACTTTGATTTACCTTCAAAGCCTGCTGGACCCTGCAGTCCTCCTCTTCCTTGATCACCTCTGAAGCCCGGAGATGCAGATATACCTCCTCTTCCTTGTGCTCCTGGTTTTCCTATTGGGCCCCTTAAACCTTAAAAGTAAAGTTATTAAACAGAATCATTAAGTATGACATTTTATTACAAAAATGCTATGGTGATAATTGAATCCAGTCAAGATCTTTAAATAATAGAAGGTATATGTAGCTGACAGAAATTTTTTGCTGCTTTATATAGCAAAGGTACTAGTAAGAGCCTAGGACAGGAAACTAAATCATATTCAGGCCACCGTGCCATCAGCAGAAGTAGGGTTGTGGCAGAACAGGAGCTGTGTTGTTTCAGCATTACTTTTTTTCCCCCAAATAATACTAAATGTCTGGACAAAAAGAACTGGACTTCTTTTCTGAAGGTAAGCATGGTGGAAAGTCAGTGTTGCCTTAAACAAGGGGCCAATTGCATAACATGTTTTTTTACTCTACAAGATATGCTTGTAGAGTTAGTGCAGCAGGGACAGATTTGAAAAGTACTAGTAGAACAGGACATTCATGTAGCATTTTCATATGAGAGAGAGAGAGGGAGAGAGAAATAGCTTCAGAACGCACAAAGACCATCTTTTTTGGTAATAACTTCCTACCTGGATCTCCTGGTGGACCTTGAGGACCCATTTCACCTGCAGGACCTTGGGGGCCTGTTTTTCCAGGGGCACCTGGTGCCCCATGCTCAGCAACCAGTTTAGGAATTAAAGGTGGCAATCCGGGGGAACCTGGAGGTCCCTGAAAACCTAATAGTTAAAAATTCAAACAAATCAATTGATTTTGTAGATAGATTTTTCTACTTATACTAGTTAGGCACTTATATTTAAAAACAACACATTAATTAATTTATTTAAAAAATTGATACAGCTGCCCAATTCAAATGATAGTGAATATTTATTCCATGTTAATAGTTGCTTATATGCACACACTGCTCTATTTTTATTCCAATTACTTTGTTCTACCTTCTACTCTGATGAATCTGCCACCTGAGAGAAATAGATTCATCTTGACTCATGGGAGGCTAGTCCTATAAATACGTTAGATGAACTAGGGATAATCCAGTATGTTCTATATTCTTTATGACTATGGAAATTATTAATACTTGCTCTCTTATCACAAAGAGAAGAGTTCAGTAAAACTGTATATAAATATAAATTATTACTGAAAATGTTGTTAAAATTAAAACATTAAGGATAAACATTAAGGATAAAGCTATGAAAAAGGTCTGTGGAATCAGTGTTGGTTTAAATATAGCAATTGCTGAAGTTGGCATACCAAATCTATCTACTCACCAGGGGGGCCTCTATCTCCTTTGGGTCCTATGGGACCAAAGTCACCAGGAATTCCTGTTCGGCCAACAAAGCCCATGATTCCTTGTCCACCTTTATGTCCTTCAAGGCAAAACAGTTATAGTTATGGGTTATTACACATCTGACTAGGTAACCTAACTCATATTCTCCATACTGAGTTTTCCCATCATACCTTTTGCTCCAGTCAAGCCTGGTATTCCAGCTTTTCCATCTGGGCCTTGGTCCCCTTTTATTCCTTTTAGACCATTTTCTCCAGCCACACCTATTGGTCCCTCTTCTCCTTTGAAGCCAAATAAACCAGCTGTTCCTGGAATCCCTGGAGGTCCAGGGTAGCCTACAAAATGTAAACAGAATTCAGAATGTTCATTGAAGGGCAATGTTTGCAACACCAAACCTGGCTACTCTTGATTGTTTTTAGATTGGTCCCAAGTAAAACATGGACAGGGATGGGTAAAATGTCCATAATGGCATTGACCTATTGGGTTGCTAAGGTTGTGTTTTTGTTTTTACACTATTTCCATAACCTGCTAACCACCTTTCTAATAGTTGGCAGTCAAACAAAGATGGTTGCTCCCTGTTTGTCTGGAGCATCCGTAATCATATCCTGCCAACTCACCAGGCTAAGTTAATGGGTTAATGGCAGACTGCTTCAGCTGTATCATGCAAATACAGCCAGTATGTATAGAAAAGTAGCTATACTAGTGGTCAGAAAGAAGCACTCTGATTGATTAATTATCTCCCTTAAAAAATAGGTTTCTATTATGTCAAAATGGGCCAGCTCTGATTAACTAACTTCCTAGGTCATTATGTTTGCTTTTTATAATTTCATAAGGCATTTTTAAAAATGTGACTGAGTGGGTTTTTGCTTGTTCTTCAAAACACTATTAAAAATCAGAATTCAAAACCTGTATTTTATTCTGAGTCCTGTTATATGTTAATTATAACATACAAAGAAGAAAATGTATAAACTTAATAATTGGCACTGTGTGCATACTAACACAGTGGCTGTACAGTATTAATTTAACATGGTTACCGAACAAGCCATAACAGTTTAGTTCACAAGTAATGCTAAATCATAAACCATAATTTACAAACCATAAAGGCTAAGTTTACATAACTTGCTAACCAAATCCAAATTTTGGCTTATAATGAATGGATCCAATTCTATGTGTGTGCGTCTGTGGGTATAATTAATTTTGCAATTACATTCCGTACTTCTGAATTGCTATTCTACATGAGAAATTTATTGTTTGGTTCCCTTGCCTCAATCCTGGAATTTTGTAACTCTCCCACACTTTCCCACCCCTTCCAACTTTTCTCTTAACACAAAACATTTTTTAAGGAGGGGAAGACAGAACCATGTTTTTTTTTAACTGATAACACTAGTTTATTAGCTATCAGTTATAACTATTACTGTGACCTGAAAACAAGGGTGTCTGGCATGACATATAAATTAAACCTTAATTCCAGAATTTATACTTAATTATCCTTGATTACCATTTTGCCTATTTAATTTTTATGATGAAGAAATGCTGAACGTACTTGCAACAAACCCAAATAGTTACAATGACTCAAAGTAACATCAAGTAATTTTAAAACCATTATTGATCTCCTTTTCTGAGTTTTGCAACTATTTTCACATTGTGTTTGAACAGGAATGCAGTTCATGCATCCCCACTGAATATATGGTAGTGTTGCGTTACCTGGTACTCCATCAAAACCAGATGAACCCACATCGCCAGGTATACCAGATATATTGGAAACTCCAGGAAACCCTGGTCTTCCGTCCGGTCCAGGAGCACCAGCTGAACCTCGCCATCCTGCCAGTCAGAAATGATGGAACACATATAGAGACCGAGGCATGCTTTCCTTTCAGGCCCTTTTTTTTTTTTTTTTAAATAATCCTTTGGTCTCCCTTCTATTTCAGCAAGTTTATAGACAACTGATCACCAAGGCTGAAAGGGCTGCAGGTGTCCCCTGATTTATCTGGTGGTGTGAGCTGATGAGGAAAGAAAAATGCTGGTTGGCTTCCAGGCCTCAGCACTTACTGATCATCAAGCTCCTGTGGGGAGAGCAAATTATAAACACTGGGGGATATAGAAGTTTGGATGTACATGAACAGCAATGGGCTTTAAAAAAGGGGGAACATAGAGGACCGAAAGAGGATAGCTGGATGCTATCAGTCAGATGGCAGAACCTGATACTAAAACTGAAATGGAAATTCATTCAGAAGATGTACTTGGGAGAATGGTTAGTAAATAAGGGCAGATAGTTCTTCCTATCACCCATGACGGGATGCATCAGGAAAATGGGAGAGAGTAGGGCATGGAAAACAGCCTGGAAGCAAACACTGGCAGGAGTGATTATCACATGGTGGGAGGCTGCAACCTGCCTATGGCAAGGAAAAGAGGGCAGGGCTATGGCCAGCCTTTTCCCCTTGCTGCCAAGCTTCACACCAAAGCCAAACAGAAAATCATCCTTATCTAGAAACTTAAACTTTTGTTCAACTTCTCAGCTTGTCTTTGCAGAAGGCTCCAGCACATGATTTGGTTAGATTAGAATCTTTATTGTAGACAAATCCCCAACCTGAACGTATCCATTGTTTTCCTGGATGAAAGCACTAACCTGGCATGTTATCATGGAGACCTGGCTTACGAAAGAAAGGGAATTTTTCTCTCTTCCACCAGGCTACTCTGTGGTACAACAAACTGGCTGGGGGCAGGGAGAAGGAATGGTGGTGGTCTCTACAGAAATTCCATCTCACCAACCAGATGCTCCATACAGCAGTCTGGCATTAAGAGTGGCAGCAGAGACCCTTTGAAGATGCCTTCCCATCCAAGGCTCATTGGATACGTCCTTCATCCAAGCCTTTGTTACTGTTTTAAAGGGGCTTCTAAAGGGTAGAATAGCAGGAAATCATTCACAAGCAGCTCTTCAGATGGGACTTTTCTCTTGTAAAAAGATTAAAGTTCTGCAGCAAAAGGAAACTTGCCCAGTTTCAGGAATGGGTGATGAAGACACAAGAAGTATTATTAGATTACTGATAAGTCAGCAGTCACACAAAGCACTAGTTAGAGAAACTGCAGCTTTAAACATTCCTGGGATAAAACAGCAGAGGTGGTGAGATAACCTAGGCTTTGGTTGATAAACGATGTTCTTTTTATTCTGTTTTTGCTTTTCCTTGCACTAGACAAACTCTCTAGTGCTAACTCACAGCAATGCAGATGCCTTAAGCTGATGACTGCTCTCCTAGACAAATACTAGTTAATAAAAGAAACATATTGCCAAAGCTTTAGGGGCTATGTTATAGCTAAAGGAAAAACTTCCCATTTTGAAAGATTTGGTCTGCAGGTGGTTGACACCAGATAGCCAGGCAGTCAGGCATAAAGTGAACAAAGAATTGTTCCTTCCTACTCTACTAAGTTACAGTAATGTACTGTATGGTGTAACAAAGAGCCTTCAAACATATAGACTGGGTCTTATCTGGTACAGAGTTACTGTTCGGTTACGATGAAGCTTGCTGGGAAGAAAGAGCAAGCAAATGTTTGTAAGTATTAAGTTCTGGAAAATACAAATCTGAGCTATTAAAATCAAACTATTTCAATCCTGTGTGAGATGCACAGACATTTTAGAAAAGAGAAGATAAATCATCTAGGTAGTCTTTATATAAACACCATTGGATATAATATGAGCTAAGGAGTTCTTGTAACTGTAAAACTTGCAATAATTTTATAAAAATACAGATTTTCATGCAAGTATTTTCTGACATGAAATTTAGGATGAGTGTTTGTTTCTTTAAAAACTATGGAGTTTTATTAATTGTGAGGCTAATAAACTAACCTGGATCCCCTCTTTGTCCCTTCTGACCAGGAGATCCTCTGCTGCCTTCAGTGGGGCTTGGGTCTCCTGCTGTCCCCTTATCACCCAAAACACCTGGAAAACCTGATGTCCCATATCCATCTGGACCTGTTATAAATGGAAAAAGTGGAAGTTGCTATATTAAACATGATACTTTTCTAAATATGGAAATATTAGTTATTTTACAGGGTAGGATACCCAGCTTCCAAGGTAGAAGGCATACTTGCTAACTACAGAAATGTGGGACATAGTAATATGGAGAGTTCTCATATTTCAAAATTTGTTAGTCACTATATAGCACAGAAGTCTCAAAAGTACACATTGGAACACAAAACCTACATAAAAAGAATAAAACATATTGCACTAAAGTACCAGTTTAAAGCAGCAGAAGTTAAAACGTCAGGAATAAAACTGCTTCAAACAACCCCACCATAGCAGAAATACAAGAAATTTAAAAGATCAAGATAATGAGTACTACTGCACAGTGAAAATGTTTAATTTAACAACCACTCTCTCCAGATTCTCACAGGGGTGGCAGTGCAGCAGCAGCAATGTGTCAGGGAATTTCACAAACTGCTCCCCCAGAGAACCACGATTTGGAGGTCCCCCCAATTTGCAACCAGAAGCAGTGTCTCTGCTTGCTTACAATTTTCGCCTCATCCATAGTACTTGAGGATCAGAGAGACAGATTTCCAATTGGTCTGGAATCGATTATTCTACAGAGTAAGCAAGGCACAATGAGAAGATTTTGGCCCAACACTAAAGAGATAATAGTTTAACCTCTCTGGGTTTCTGCTACTAAACAGGCTTATTCTCAAATATCTACAAGCTGAATTCAGCATGCAGGTGCTCTTGAATACGATCTGAGTTAGAAGTGGGCCCCATAATAACAAAGGGCTTTATTGGTTAACATCAGCACTTAGAACTGGATCCAAAAATGAAATGGAAAATAATGAAGATGATGTACCAACAGTAGAATATAATCATGATACTCAGTACAGTCTGTATTCCAGCTGCCACATTTTGTACTTGGAAGCTTTTGGACTGCCTCTAAAAAAAGTCCCACATTGCAGTAATCAAAATGAAAGGTTATGAGGATATCAGTCACTGAGATGATCAATGTAAATATTACACCAGCCTCAGCTGGTAAAAATCACTCCTTGCTACAGAGGAAACTAATGAATCTACAAAACTTTATAAGTGTCTATAGATCCAACTTTAGTACCTCTAAGCTAGATCTATAGCTACAAACCTGATATTTTGGGGGAAGTGTGGTCCCTTTTATTTCAAGTTGGATATCACTTATTCATAAGAAAAGTCAAGTCTTCATAATATATGATAGCCCATCTTATAACTGGAACATACCTGGTGATCCTGGCAAGCCCTTAGAACCTGGCAAACCATCTAATCCAGGGAGTCCTCTGAGCCCATGCTCACCTTCCAAAAGTGCAGTAAAATCAGTATTATTTATAGACTTAATTAACATGTGATACAGAGTTCTTTGAAGATAATCCATGCACAAAAATATTAATTGTGTGTGTGCCTTCCAGTCAGCGTTGACTCCTAGCAACTGTCTGGACTAGTCCTTGCGGTTTTCTTGGCAAGATTTCAGAAGTAGTTTGCCCTTGTCTGCTTCCTAGGGCTGAGAGAGAGGGACTTGCCCAAGGACACATAGTTGGCTTCATGTCTAAGGCAGGACTAGGACTCACGGTCTCCCAGTTTCTAGCCTGATGCCTTAACCTACACCAAACTGGCTCTCAAAATATTAGTTACCATATCAGAAGCTAATTGCGCCATATATTTTCATTGGTTCATATCCCCTCTGCCAAGTTGCCCTGACACTAGTATGGGCCACCTATCATTTCTGGCAGGCAGGAATGGATGATTTACCACCCTCAGCCCACCATAAACATGACTTCCACTTATGTTTTCCTGCTCAAAAGTAGCGTCATCCAGCTTGTTCCAGCTCACATGTGGCTGTTCAGTTTGCCTGCTGTACTTTACTTTCTTCTAGGCAAACTGTTGATTGGCCACCACAGGCAGTGGAAGGAATGCCCCCTTACCTGAATCAGTGGTCACTGCTCTGCATCTTTCTAATCTCTGTTGCAAAAATTGTTACCAATGATCTCCCAGTAGTCTAATGATTATAAATTTGCCTAATATGCTGAGGATCATTGATGTTTTTCTTAACTTACTATTTTTGTCTCCTTGAGCTATCTGTTCCACTGGGCTTCTTTTTTTAATATGTCCACTGGTGTACCATTGAAATAATGAAATCCTTCTACCTCAAGTGGCAGGAAAAATGTTGAAACTTGTTAAAAATAAAGCAGTAAATTCAGGGAAAGAAAAATGATTTTAAAAAAAGAACATTTTTGCTGAGCTTCAAACTGATATTTTGTATGCCAGGCAAATGTTATAGCCACTATGCTATTGGAATGCCAGTGGTAACAAAAGCTGAAGCACACATTATTGAGCCAAATGCAGGAAAATGCAAGAAAATAATTCATATTTAAACTAGTTGTTGTGCCTGCATTTATGTGCATTTCTATGTTTATCTTTGTACATAGAAATGTAATTTTGTGTATGGGTGAAGCCTGACCAGAAGGTTCAAGGCAGATGATTGCAAATACGAAAAGCCATTAATGACAAAAGAAAAGCAGCTACTGCAAACTGTAAGATTCAAGCCATATATAAGCAGAACTCAGGTTCAACCCTTACATCTCTGTCAGAACCTGCATCAACCAACAATTGTTAATTTACAAAGCACAGCAGTCAATGGGAGTTTGATTTGCTTCTGCCAACTGTGACTGGGGAGGAGGGCTAGTAGTTAAGGTTGTAATAGGAGTAGTAACGGGAGATGGTGAGGAGCTTAACCTTATATGGGCAATGAGGCCGGGTCGGATTGCAGGCAAGGCCAGTGGGGGCCTGATGGCCAGGAAAGAGCTATGTATCCATGGAAGGAAGGGAAGAGGTCACCACCAGGTGAAGAGGAATTGAGGCGCCAGGGCAATTAGGGGAG